CGGTCAACCAATTTATTTTTTAATCAAGCTCTAAAGTGCTAATGCAAGATGAAAACAATGTTGAAACATTTCCAAATTTCCGAACTCCATCGCCTTTCCGTTCTGCATTTTTGAGTCGTGGTCTAGTTGCACTGGGGGAAAACAATGTTGAAACATCTCCAAATTTCCGGACTCCATCGCCTTTCCGTTCTGCATGTTTGAGCAAGGTCTATTTGCACTAAAGGGGGGCTTTGTCAACTGATCCAGCTCTTGCGAGCATCTATCAAAGTGTGTAGATGTGTGTGTTTGTGCGTGTATCCCTTGGAGTCAGAGGGACCGTTGGTCATGTTTAGGTAGAGCAGGGGAACCGCATTTCATTGGGACTGTGCCCCATGAAGCTACCAGTGAAATGGGATATCCACCATGGCCAGCTAAACATACCTGCGTTGATGATACCATTCATTTCTTGCTGGTCCCTGCTTGTCAGCAGAACAATTTTTCCAGCAAAAACGCAAGCTGTGAATCTCGTGAGTTGACCTCGAGGCTCTTGGGACTTCGACACTTCAGGATGCTCAGACCCCCGTATATGTTTTATTCAGGGCCACTTCACTTACAGTACACTTCTCCAGGGCTTTGGGGTGATCAGTTTCCGTACGCATTGTTCCGAGTGCGTATGCGTGTGTGTGACACGTGTATTTTGCATGTGTGTTTTTTTTTTTTTTTTCTGGCGTGCGGTTTGTTGAAAGAGACAGCTCCATGATTTGAAACCTGAAAGGCGCGAGCAGCAGATGACAATGAAACAATGGTTTCCGTCGTCAAGTTTTGACGGACTATAGAAGACGAAAAAACTTAGTGTTCCCATGCGTTCCCTGTCTCATTGTTCCCGCGCTCCGTCCAGAGTCTTCGACGTCGTGCGAAAAGGTTGGATCAACTACTACACGGCTGGTGAGAAGGTGGCGGAACGCAGCACGAAGATCCAATGGGGCTCGATTGTCCACAGCGTCGGGGACAGCTTCAAAAAGGAAGACATCAAACTACTGGAACCTTAGTTGTTTATCTCCTTGCGTGGTCAGTGAGTTTTTGTGTTGTTTGGTTTGTGTTTGTTTGCCTTGGCGTTGGCCCAAGGAAAGCGACATGTGGATTAAGCTGATGGAAGCAGACAAAAGCAACAGTTTGATCGTGGTGAACTTCGAATTCAGAGGTGGCAAAGATGCAGAACAGGTTGTTCCGTGTCATATTTTTTTTGTCCGACAGACTTCCTCACAAAGGGCCTTTGAACAGCTGTTCAAGGACATGTCGGCGTGTCAACCCCAATGTTGTGTTTTAATACCAACTGTTGTTCAAATGATATATATTCTCGAATTTCTGATGCACCAGGTAGAATTGACCTACCGCGTTGAAACCGGTATATAGCTGCAATGAAAATCATTGAGCACAGACGTTGGTTCACATCCATTGGGCATGATGTATATCATTTGGGTCTGTCCTATTGCCTGAACAGTCGGTAAACTACTGCGCGTATGAAATATTTTGGAATGCCTTTACTAACCATCGTCATCCAATTGTTACTCATGGGATGGGCCCAATATATCCCAATATTGCATGTAGGGCCGTGCTTCCTTCCAGGTGCGAATCCTCAGGGCCGTCCTTTGTATGGCACTCGTCCGGATGGCTTGATGCCACGCCACGCATACACGGTGCTGCAAGCTGTGGAGATTCCCGGGGAGGTTTGGGAAGATCCCACGAGGATGGTTTGCTTGCGTAACCCTTGGGGCCGCTGCGACCCCTTAGCTTTGCTTGTATTTATATATATCATAATGTTTTTGTTTGTTTTTGTGCAATCTTTCTAATTTTCCCGCTTTTGTCTCATTCTTTGCTGGAATCTATCAAGTCAATGGTTTGACTCGTGCAAATCTGAGGAATGGAAAGGCCCTTGGAAAGATGAGGGTGAGGAGTGGAAAAAGAATCCCAAACTTGCTGTGGAGTTGAAAAGCGGGAAGAAAACCGATGGCGTTTTTTGGATGGCCTGGGATGACTTTGAATGGTGTGCAGACACCCTCACCATTGTCCCAACTGAGATCCCAGTGAAGCGTGGTCAACATGAAGATGGAGAGGATGCAGGTGAAGATTGATACTGAGAACACAATTGGCAAACCAGTTGCTCTCACCGAAGGTGAAAATAAATTGCTGGCCGTTTCTTTTTCTCTCATGATCTCTCGGTGCCAAGTTTCGCTGTATAGATATCATGCATCAAGAGTTTCGGGAGTGAATGTAACTTCGCCACACCTTGATTTCACCATTTATATAATTGCTGATCATCGATCTTGTCCAAAGTGGCAAAACTGGAAATAAACTGGAGCAAGACAAGGGTTGCAACATTTTTCAGAAGCAAGGCATCACGTCGAGTTGGCAGGGACTATTGCGAACGGTCGTTTGTTTTGTTTTGCTTGGTTGGCCTTCCCCCAATCACCGAGCAAAGCACATCCTTTTTGTTCTCAGGCAGATTCGTGCTTGGAGTCGGCCCCCGCCGCCGCCGCCCTAGTAGCTTCTTGTTACTAGTAGCTACTTGCTCCTAGTAGTACGGCCAGGAGCCCCTAGTAGCGTCCTTGCTCCTAGTAGCGATGCCAGGAGCCCCTACTAGCTTCTTGTTACTAGCTACTATAGTAAAATAATGACCCATGTCTCTATGTCCAACCGCCAAAAATTTGCACCAGCGAACCTTCCTGGAATTGGCCTTCATTAAGCCCATCCAATTGGCGTCCTGGGCCTGTCTCGCTTTCCTTATTTTTAATTTGTTGCCCTTCCGTTAAATCATTTCACCCAGGCCCGGCCCTCTACCCACACACCAATACAAGCAGCTTTACCTCCACCCCCACCCAGACCCGGCAAAAAGACAGCTCCGCCAACTAGAAGATTTCGCACCAGAAATCACAGAAACAAGCAGCAGGAAGCACAACATTTCGCACCAGCAATCACGAAATGTCGCGCCAGAAACCACAAACCGAAGCACAAAAACAACCCTCCGGGCGGGAAGCTGAACAGGGAGTGTTGTGCAATTTTGAACATGAGGAAGTCACCCAAACCACAAAAACCCTGTAAAGACCCACGTGTTTCATGTCAGTGGGTGTGATCAATGCACGGAGCCTGACTGTGTTCCCTACAAAGCCATGTGTTTTGTTGTAGAATTGACATGTATTTTTCTTAATTTGGGGTCTCGTTTTGTGACTCGCTTTTTCGGAAAAGTTGAAAAAACCGTAGGCTAATAGGAACGGCACCGAAAAACTCGCGCTCTTTTTTCCTGCCTCTTCACAATTCCTGAGACAGTTCTTTGGTGCATGAACGAAACCAGCCCCCCCCCAAACGTGCCCCCCAAACCTCCCGTAGAATCTTTTGTCGTCACATCAATAACTCATCACCATCGTGTTCTACTGATCACACGAACGAAACCAGCGCCCCCCCCAACCCCCCCGAACCTCTGTCATCACATCAACAACTCATCAAAAAATCATCATGGTCTCTACATAACATTAACAACCATGGCCACCGGGTCGGACAATTTCAGCATTATATCGATTGTAAAAAGGTAGCACGACTACACGGTTTCCGACCCGGTGGTAAAAACAAGGTACCGCCGCTAATAGTGACCCTGTGCGATTCGCACATTGCCAAAGTGGACAGCCATTTTCTAATTTTTGGGAGAGTTTGGATCATATGTGCTTTCATCCCATGTTTCACAAGGGTCAGCACTTGTAAGGTGGAATTTAGATTGGGGAACAGCAGAAAGTGCACTCTTTTTTGGCGCGCACGCGTTTTGCAGGTGTATTTTCTTTACACTTGCGGCCACGTTCGGGCCAACGCCTCAAGCAAATGTCCTCGGTTGTTCCACCGAAACCGAAAACTGCGGACATATTGATCGACGCGTTTTGCGTCACCCCACATCAACCACGAAGCATCAACTTCGTGACGCAAGTGCAAGCGAACGTTAACATGCCCCACCCCACCCCACCCCCCACCCCACCCCACCCCACCCCACATCAACGAGGAAGCATCAACCTGACAGCACCATAAAATCGCGATTTGCTCTTGGGTCGCTAACAGCGGCGATAGCAAAAACAAGCACCAGGAATCACAACTGAGAGCACAATAGATTGCACCAGGAATCACAAACCAAAAGATTAGTACCAGCAACGACCCAATTGAAAGCCCTTGATTGAAACTGAAAAATGAAAAGGGATCCCAAACATATGTACTTTTCAATTTGGAGAGCCAGCCGCCCCCGGGAGCCCAGTCCTCCTGACCGCCGCCTCCAAAACAATGGCAAATGGTGGACAATCACAAAGTCAACACAGATAGAAAGAATGTGTCGGATCGCAAAGGCTGGTAATGTATTGGGTTCCTGTGGGATGTAGCCTAGCGAAAGCTCTCATTTTGGGTGAACTATGTAATATTTTGTGGGTACTATTGTGGTGACTGTTACAGCAACAGGCTGGCTTTGCAGCAACAATTGTCCTGCATTCAACGAGGTCCGAATTCTATGTTTCATGCATGTTGAACTGCTCCCTTTGCTCTTGTCCTTTGTCCGGCAGTTGGACCAGTTGGATGACAAAACACAACTCGAGAATTCTTGAGAAAGCCTTTGCCATGATGCATCCTTTTACACAATGGCTGACTGGACACCCTCAAAGCAGTCGGCCAAATTCTTTCCTACACTATGTGTAAGTCGGTTGCGTCGAGGTGTTTGACAGGTTGGGAAGTATGGTATGTGAGGGTGTCGTGCCTTTTCAGCCATAAGCAGTTTACCTTGCAGATTCTGTTGCGGTGGAGCTGTGTAGAGTTGCTGTTGTTGCTTCACCCTTTTCTCAGACTAACGGAGTCAGTCTGTCAGGATTGCCGGCTCAACATGTTTGTAAATTATTGCAAATTAATATGCAGATTGCAGATTAAAAAATGGCATGCAAGGGCTGTGACAGCAAAATGCAGCAGCACTTGGGCAAGGAATGACGTCAACAAAGTGTGTATTTGGGGCCAACTTGCTATGGAGTTTGGGCCAGGCGACATGCGTGATCGAACAGCATATTGGCATATTGGTTATTGGTTGTTTTGGTTTTGAGGCCCTTTTTGCTTCCAGTACCTTGAGGTGTTCAGTTTGTACACTGTGCACATCATGCTGGACTACATTGTGGTCTGACCATGATCTGATCATGTTTGCAGCCACACAAGCGTCAAAGGCTTTTGCAAACTTCAAGCACTGCGAATACAGCCACCAAAGCACTTACTGTAGTTAGAGTTAGGGTTGATAGTAGGCACGATGGCAGCAGAAATCCGCGAAGGCAGTCCAGAAGAGACTGCAGGGAGCACTGATCCCAAGCAGGACTCTTGGCTTGATGCACTACTCTGATCACACGGGCAAGTGCGGAACTCTTGGTTTGTTTCCGTCGATTGCTTTACTTGAAGGAATCCTCCGAATAGTCCAATGACACGTTTGTTCCTGATTCATTATGACCTGTTTGTTTCTTTGTGCTGCACGCACTGCATGCAGCTGCACCTGTCAGATGCGAGCAACCATCATTGCCGCCATCAGCAACCTCTCAACAGCATACAACTTGGTCAATGTCAACTTGACCAATGTCACTTAGCTCCATGTGATTCGTTTGCCTTGTGCCCACGCAAGCACCTCATGCGTCGTGCAATGTCAATCTGAGAGCAAACAAAAATTATTCAGTGCTCATGACCTGATCAGTACCACTATTTTTGCCTTTGGCGCGTACAAGCTTGATGCTATCATTGCAGTGTTTGTCAAATGCAGTCAGGAGATTATGGAGAATGAATTTTGCAACGGCGCCATGTGCTTAGATGTTGTTCAATTTATATATTCCTGTTGCTCCTTCAGCCTGGGCGGCAAGCTTTTGTGTTTGTTGTGTTGCCAATTCTTGCTGTCGTGTCGTATCGCTTGCATCCACCTGCGGTCCGACCTGCTGCCCACAAACAGGCATAGTACAGTCACCCAGTACAAGGATTCGAGCAGTCATAATGATTGTCATGATGATTCATGTTTCATGATGTTCAAGTCGGCTTTCAAACTTGATTCTTGGACTTTCAGCTGCTTTGTTTCATGTTGATGCCCCTAGATGAGATCAGCATTGACCGCTCAGATGGCCCCTTTTTCAACACATGCCACCATTTACTCATGAATTCTGTGTATTTGCTGAAGGCACACTGCAATGCTTCAATTGCTGCAACCAGCACCGCGTGCTTGGCTGGCGCCATTTTTGGCCAGCTGACTTTTGGATTCTTGTCATTATGAGTAATGGGGATACGTTTCTATGTTATTCGAGGCATAACCTTTATGGTTGGATTGGTGCAAACTTGCTCCGGATGTTGGAGTTTGCGTATTTTTTTCACTTGCCTACAGTTTTCCTCACCAAAACATGGCAAACGTGTTAGCCGAGGATATGTTGGTGATTGGCTCGGTCGAGGGCCTGCGTTTCTTTGGATCAAGCATCATAAAACCTTTAAAGGGCATGCGCTTTGTTCCTCAAACGCTTGGAGTGCACCCTGCACCAAAGACATTGGAAACCGGAGCAGGTGTCGTTAAGGGGGTCCGAGCTTGACCTTGGACTAGATTTATTGAGTATAATTATACAGTATATACATGTATATACATGTGTTAGTTTCCTTTTATTGACGAGTCTCATTCGTGATTTCTTTATTGATTTTGTACTTGACAACAGGAAAAACATGAGGCGACCCCTTGGACCATGTTTCCCCATTTTCGCTACTGAGGTTGTACTTGACCATGGTCATGTCAACCACTGGTGCATTGGTTTCAGCCTTTGCAGTGCCATTAAATCCTCGAGATCCCACGTCAGCCCACGCCTGAGAGGCTGGAATTCATGCTCGGCAAAGGGAAGCCACAGAAGCACCCAGACAAACTACACAAGTATTGTTGTTCGGACATCTATGTTTACTGATTAGAACATTTCAGAACCGTGTGCGCCAATCGAATGATCATAGTCCACCAAAGCAGAATATAATAGAAGACACCTCTCTCTCTCTCTCTTTATGTATATATGTATATACCCAAGATGCTTTGGTGCGTGTCTAGAAATTTCGCATCGTTTGTAAGAGGTTCCGCTCCTTACGCAGAAGCAGGCTGTCACTGTAGGGTCTTCAATAGATACTTGCAATGTCTTCGCAAACTTCGGGGAGCATTGCTTAAGAACACAAACCAGGTCCTTGAGGTGTGCTGTCCTGTATTGTTGTCCAAGGTCTTTATTTTCTTGAGCATTGCACGCTTCATCCTGGGCATCGGGGTTGGTGGAGTCTATCCCTTGGCAGCCACTGTTGCAGCTGAAGGTTCTAGCAGCTCGAACCTTGGAGGAAAGGCAGGACATGCCTCATTGCAAATTGAAGATGGTGTAGGTTTTCAGATGAGGCCGCATACTCATCCGCTTACGCTTAGGCGCTAGACATGGACGGTTGTTTTACCTAAGGAACCGCGGCCGCTCGGTGGCTTTGGTCTTTTCGATGCAAGGTGTTGGGCAGCTTTTGGTGCCAGTAGTGGGCATGATTTGTCTTTACACCTTCGGCTCCTCGGTTGCATTGTTTCTAAGAAAGTAATTAGCGAGTGTGACACAAGCAGTTTGCGTGCTGCTTCTTCACTGTGGACCCACATCTCAAGTGCGCAACTGTCCAAGCGGTTTGTTGCATCTCTGAATATGCCAAGTCAACACTGTAACAGTTGGCAAACATGAAAGCAAAAAAGGAACTCTTGAAGGGAACGATGGAAATGGGCGATGATGAGGAACAGCATACGCTAAAAAATGACAAATGGACATCAATTGAATAATGGTCTCCAGGTGATGGCATGGAGCATGAGAAGACCAAGACAGTCATGAATGTGAAGGGTTTGTCCTGGCGTTTGATCCTTGGCCTTGGAGCTCTACCAGGCAGGAAGTCAAATATGTGGGAGTGGACCAACAACCAGAGCCCAATTGGCCTCAAAAAGCAACCATATTTCCAGTAGTTCCTTACGTGTTTTCTTCAGGGTGGGTTCCAGGATTTTCGGGTTTTGACGGGGTAGGATTGAAGTCCAAAATGTTTGACATTGATTCATGAGCATTCATTGGGTGTTGGTTGCAGTACCCACTAGATGACTTGATGAATCCTGATGACTATATAATTCCTGCAGAGTCGGCTGAGCTGCACTTCCAACAAAGGCATTTTGCTGATGCCTTTCCAACGAGCTGATAGCCAAGCTGCCCGACCAGACACATCTCAGGCGCCTAGCATGCTGCAGGTGCGTCTTCTGCAAAGGTGTTCCTTTGTGGTTCCTTGATTCGCTTGATGGCCGGTTGTGACCGGCTGTGTTGACTGTGTCTGTGGAGGCTTTGAGCAATCGTGCTTACTGGCGGAGCATTCTCGGCTGTGCAGGAGGGTGGTTTTTGTTTGACATCACATTCTACGGAAACTCGTTGTCCCTGGGTAGCACAAGAGCCTTCGATGTCCACCTCATAAAGTACCTGAACAATCCTGAACATGCTATTTGCTACCAGGGTTGGTTTGTGTGTTGTGCTGTGCTCGGTTCGGTTCAGAATTGCTGTTCATGGCACTTGCCTTCGGCGTGCTTTTGATCATCAGTGGTGATGTTTCGAGGTTTGCACCTGCGATTCTCCAAGATGTGTTCCATGTCGACACCGGTTCATCAACCCCGGTGATTGGAAGCAAACTTCAGAACAACTTGTGTTGGCAACTTGCAATCCTGGCGCTTCTTGGGCTGCCGGGCTACTATGTGTCTGTTTGTTTTATGGATCGTTTGGGCCGGAAGAACATTCAAATCCAGGGCTTTGGCATGATGGCGATGCTGCTTGGTGAAATAAAATAGAAGCTCTATTGATGTTTTGTGGATCTTCCATTGCAGGAGTGATTGAAATTTATTTGGGTATCATTCAGCAGCACAGAGATAATGCAGTTGGGGGGGGGGCTACTTGAAGCACTGCAATGCAGTCGAATGTGACGTACCTGAGGTTGTACACCATTTTGGCTGCGTTCTTGGATGGTATGGAGGACCTTCCAGCATTGCTCCTCTTTGTCTATGGCTTAACGCATCTTGTCTTATATAGTCCTACATTCAGGTCAGTTTCTTGGAAGCTTAGATGGTCAATCATCATTGAATTCGTAAAACATGTAGCATGCATGATGGATGATGTGAATATGAATCAATTGAGCTCGTGAAACACAGCGGCAGCAGTCCCAATGGAGGTATTTCTTCAGCAACTTCGGCCCCAACAGCACTACCTTCATCCTGCCCTCGGAGTCATTTCCTCAACATGTGCGCTCATCTCTGAATGGCTTCTGCGCTGCCATGGGGAAGACTGGTGCTGTTGTGGGTTCTTCGATGTTCAAGCCATTGATAACAGTGACGTGGCACTATGAGACTTACCTTGCAAACTAGACTCTCACTAGCTGTAACTAGACCACAGAGTTGAGGTGACATGTGGGAATTGATATATACTAGTATACTGCTTTGGTGTTTGGTGAAGAACTGAGAGTTAACTTGTTGTTCAAGCCCTTCGGAAATTTTTTTTCGCAATATCGCTTTGTATCGTGGGAGATTTGTTGAATATGTCATAATATGTACCACTTTTGCAGGATAAGCAGATAAGCACCTTTGCTTGACCCCTAACAGGAGCGTTTTGCAAGCCAGTCGGCGTGATTTTTTTGTTCACAAGGATACTGTAACCGTTACAACGGCATTGGTGAACTCCTGGAACGTTGGCCGTTTGTTCGCTCAATGTTGGCGCGCCACCAACCAATTCGATCCCGAAGTGCCAGCAACACGCCAGATTTCAGTCCAGATTCAAGGCTTGGACAGCCTAGGACACCAAATGCATAGAGGTCTAGTGGCATTATTTACCGTATTCCCTTCCTCAGCCATCCGATTCAGATTCTCGCTCCGCGTCCCAGGCAGCGGGCACTAGCTTCGTTTTCATTTGTTGCGCCGTTTGCGCGCTTCTGGGCATCATTGTCACCATCTTCTGCGTTGATGACAGGAAGCGTTTGGATGGGGGACCGGTACGGATGAGTTCTTGTGATCTTCACAAATGGATTAACCTGTGGCCAGCCTACGACCAATTTGCTTCCAATGGATTTCAGTGCAGGGCATGCCGGATTCTATATAGAACAAACTCACCACGTTTGAGCCCTCGTGTGTGACTTACAGTAGACTTACAGTAACATCAATATGTTTGCTTGAAGGATTTGAAGGGTTTTAGTTTGGATTGACCATGGATTGAAATGAGCATAGATTTAGACTGAGAAGGCAACTCAGAAGGCGACTCAGCCGCCAGGCGTGGACAGGATATGATGGGCGAAAGCGAAGAATCTCTATCCCAATCCCGTGGCTTGACCATAGAACCTTTGCTATCAAGTCCTTGGTTCACCAAGTCATCGTGCAGATACTACAACCGGGCACCCAGCCAAATAGAAACCAGCAAACGCACCGCCATGAATTGGGCGTGCGTTGCATGATGTCGCATGGATGCCACGCTGGCTGAGGTGAAGACCCATTTATAGAGGCACCTGGACAGATTCACGTGCAGAATTTGACGCAGTGGTTTTCATCGCGCTTGCTAGTATACATCCTCGTGGCTTTTGTCAGAATCGGTCATGGGAACCTGTTGCATAACGCTTCTAGCTATAGTTGGATAATACATCAGCACAGTTGAGATAGGGCTTGTTGAATTGGCGAGTTTCGCAATTTACGCTCACCGGTTAACACTCATTCCACTTGGGACTGCGAATGGGCCACTCAAGAATTATAGAAAATGAGAGCACCATGCGCTCACTTCGAGATCTGAGAACTCCATGGTTCTGTGTCTTGCCGTACGCAGTGCTGCCAGGCCAGTGATTGCTCCAGATAGTGAAATTCTGAAAGCAACGGTTTGCCGCATTGCAAAGACAATGAGGCTGTGGGCAAGGTTGAAAGAGCTTCCAAGAAGCCAGACAAGCTGCAAAGTTGCACTTGGGCCATTGTTTCTGCCCAATCTGCAAAGCAGACGAATAGATACCCCCCTAGTGGTCTCCAAGCTGGTCAGCACCCAGCCCGGCTTCAGACTTTTGGTTAAGATCAATGTCGAAAGTGCGGGGGGAAAGTTGATGATTGCAAAAACACTTCTTAGTGTGGGAACGTGGACACGGACTAGTCACAAAATGCTTTTTGTGGTGTGGGGCATTCAGACACTGATGTCATCCAACATCATCAAGAGCTAGAAGGGCCAGGCACAGCCTCCACCTTTTGTTCTGGTGCCCAGACTTAGTTAACACTTCAACGACAGTTGCAGCTGTGGCTTCAAGATACGCAGTCATTTGCTTATGTATTTGTTCTACCGACGCTTGCAGAGTCATTCAAAGCACATGTACCAGACATGGACAACTGACCAGACGGAAATGTTTCTTGCAACAATGTATTTGCATTGAATATGTTGTGTTGCCGCCTTGGCAATGGGCCTACAGCCGGGGCGAATGGCGGAGGGCAGTGAGAGATTGTATTGGCTTTGCCGGATTTGCTTAGGCAACAGTTTGGCAGGCTTTCCATCCAATACCGCATTAGCAGGAAATATGTCAGGGTGTCAGTTTTTGGGAGAAGACTGGAGAATGTAAGAATCTAGGCTTAAGGAGGCACCTGCTTAAATAAGTAGGAGCGGGCTCAAAAGACACACACACACACGACTCAGTCGTTGGATTCCTTCCCTCTAAGCCCAAGGATGTGCCAATGTCGCACTACACAAAACTATTTTGTCCGATCTGCTGAGAAGCACTTCTCGTACACTGGCGATGACGCTTCGTTCTTGGAGGAGACGTGCTCCAAGAGAGCATCAGACTCGCACACTTTCACGCGCTGTCGGTTTGCCGCACGCTTGGAAAAAGATCTACCCAGGTCATATGCGCCCACCCTGCTCCTTAAACGCTAGAATTTGCGACAATGAACAGCGCATGTTTGACTTGATTTTGCTGCTGCGGCATGTTCAGCAAAGTTCACAGAGGCCAACTGCCTCCAGACTCCAGACACACCAAGACCAAGACAACCAAGTCAATGCTGATACACTGATACTATGCTGATCTCTACGCAACGCGGATGACTTCCCAGAGTTTGGCTGAAGGGGTGGGAATGTGGGAGAGTGTTCCCAGGGTCAAATTTAAATACTCCGCTTCCCATCAAGCGAGGTTGGAGGCCATCGCTCTTAGGTTGAAGGCCATCGCTACTAGGTTGGAGTTGGAGGCCATGGCTACTAGGCTGGAGGCCATTGCTTGTAGGTTGCCAAGCCGAAGCCGCGCCTCTCCAGGAGCATCGCCAGGAGCTCCAGGACCTCGGCGTGTCGGAGGAGGAGGTCCTCAAAGATCTACGGAGGCAGCGCCAGGAGCGTCTCAAGGCACCAGAGGAGTCGTTGCAGCGGGTGCAGCGCATCCAGATGCGTGGCGTGTTTTCTGTGTTTGCTTTTCCCTGGTGGATTTTAGTGAAACACAAGAGGAAGTGAACAACCCACAGACAATCATATATTATACATACATATGAATCAATATAATATGACTATACTGAGGGTGCATATACTGAGGGTTTTATGTGGTGCATGTTCTCTGTTTTCCGATGTCACTAGCATATTTGTTCAACTGAAATGTTTTGGACTGAACTTGGCATTTGGCGCTCAGGAACGAGTACACCCCTTTGCGGCCAGAGGTTTACAAGCTGGATGAGCTTTCCTACCTGCAAGATGGCTTTCGTCAACTTGTCGCGGAGATGCGCAAGCCAGGAGCCAAGGTGATCTCAGGACGGGCATTGTGATTTTGATTGCTTTTGTATATGCACACCATGTGGTGCATGGTGGTGCATGCCTCGGTACAGAAATGTCAAGCTTGACTGCAAAGTTTACACAACTGTAGCCTAGCTTTAAGTTTGTATTGCTCAACCTTGTTTGCATCTAATTTGTAAATTTGATTGAGTTAGTTGGAGAGAGGGGGGTGTCAAATTCCAAAAGAGGAGCGAAAGAACGAAAGATCTTGGAAGAGGTTCGGCCAGGAATTTGGACTTTCCCAGTCTTTACAGAGGCCTTTTGTGATCAACTGGAATGTGAACTCCGCAATTTTCATGATTCCGGTCACTCAGAGGATTACTTACATTATATAAATAAGTATTAAATTATTAACTGGTTTTTGCACATTCACTCTTTGTAGTTTCGTGCAGTTTCGTTTCTGCAACAGGAAGCCTTTAAATTCTTGTGTTCCCGCTCTAATGTCACCATGTTGACAACTGAGGCTTGCCGCGCACCGCGCCCAACACCATGAACCGATTCGGCATCATTATGTCTGAGTTGGGCTTTTGTGACTCGGGAGAAACCCCGAGTCAGCACATGTTACCCTCCAAGTCAAAGCATCCATACATCGTGCCATGTGCAATTGATGACCCAGCATGTGTGTGGCAAGACATTCGAAAAGACTAGACAAACACCAAAAGCAGCAATAGCCACGACAAGAATGCAGTCCCAATTCGAGCCGGATCAAAAGCAATCCCACCTCTACGGATTGCCCGATGTTTTTTGATGCTGGTCAACGGACGGAGGCTGCTGAAGTTGAAGCACAGAGAATGGCTCCCATGAATTCCGGGAATCTTGTTTCTGGATGACAGGCTGAACAGGGCCCCCCAACCCAGTGCAACTCACGGAACTAGAGTCCAATCTGAAGCTTTGCATGTTTAATTAATGTTTCAATCAAGGTGAGCATTTGCTTGATCCTTTGGTCTTTGAGTGCCTTGGCTCAATTGCTGGAATTTGAGCTTTGTTGTGCTTCAACGGATTCCAGATACAGGTTGCAGAGCAGACAAACGTTGACGCATGTCATGATCACCTTGAGCATGCTACCGCCGGTCTTGTTTTCAAACAGGTATGTGAATGTGGTGGCCACGCGACTTCTCCCTGCCTTTTGTGAATGCTTGGACTCCTACCGCGCCTTCACAGTCCTTTACGAGGCGGAGCGGGATGGTCACTGGGCACAGGTGGCAATACACGCTTGACTCCAGTTCTGCAGAAAAGATGAGCGGATTTTGCTCGAGAGAGGAAATCATCGTCCAAGCACGCAATGCTTAAAATGCTTAGGTGACAAAGAGTTGGCCATGCACTACGACAATGCAGAGGTCACTCTGAATATCAACATCGGTGGCACCTAGGCCAGTAAGAGCTATCCCTCAGTCAGTGGATCAGCCCGTGGTCGATTGGCTATGGGGGATGTGCTTCCATTTTTAAAATTATTCACTTCTCCATACTTCTCCAAAACTTGTCAATAAACATCAATAAACATTGTTTGTCAGAGCCCTGCTCCGCCCAATTGCTTTGCTTTGGGTTGTTTTAGGCTCATGCATTGTATCATACGTCATCAAGCCCAGACCCGCTCGAGATGACGTGAATCTTTTCATGAAATCTGTAAGGTACATGGGATGGTGGCAATGTGGTCTACTACGGCTTGGCAACCAGTGCTGAAGGTCCCCCCATGGAAGCCACCCTGCGGCGTGGCTGGGGCGTGCTTCACGCTGGCTTAGAGCTTCATCGAGCAACGCCCATCTCGCAGGGGCGCCGGCACAATCTGATCCTTTGGTGCCGATCCTCAGGGGTGCGGAATGCACCTGGCCGGTGGTCCCAAAGCTCTTTTTCTCAGATGCTCAAAGTGTGGAACCCCAAAGCTGGAAATGCCCATGGTTAGATATTGGGGAAACTGGTTGCTAGAATTTTGTACATTTGGATCTGTCCCCACGATTGTGGCGGCCATGCTGTTCAAGCACACCTAAGGACTTGTGCCCCATGTGCTTCAAGCAGCCCATTGTTGTCCCTACTAATCGTTACTACCATGAAGGATTTACAGTGCCTCCCTGTGATCAATCTTCGAGCATTTCGCGCGACATGTCAACGGACGACCTCTATGATTGAATTGCGAACCCGTGCAAAGCCGGCATAGATGTTTTTCTGTGTTCAACTTGCAGTTGGAATGGCTGTATCACCCTCCACGAGCACCAAAAAGGACTATATAGTGTCTACTGAGTCACAGAGCTGGCCAGAAACAAATGCCGTTTGGACTGGCCTGTGGATCTAATTATGACACGCAGCCGTGCAATGTGTACAGAAACTTGCTTGCTACAGAGCCAGGCTGCGAAGGAGCCAAACATTGGCTGCGGACATAAACGATCTGCAAAACAAGGGCCATGGGAGCATGATAAAGAGGGAAGACACAGCAGACGGCATACAATGCGCTTTTGCTCACTCGCTTGGTGCCTTTGTGTCCAAAGCATGCAATTGTATATGCGGGCTTCATTGTTTTGGCTTTGAATGAACATAATTGTATTTGGGAAGCTTGTAGTTTCAGGCAGACATTGGTAAGCTCTCTCACCCTCCAATTTGCTTTGGTGTACCAGCATGGGGGCATTGGTCAGGCAAGAAACTGCAAGAAACGATAAGACACGTATTGCCAATCATGTCGTGACTAGTCTTACTTGTATCTAATACACTTTTTACATCTTTTTACTCCAGCAAGCCCAATCGGGTGATCATATTGCATGATGGCCTGAAGGTGGGCTTTGGGTGTCGGATGTGTGTGTGGGTCTTGTGAAACGGATCTGGTACCACGACACTAGCTTCATCGCATGCCTGGAGGGCCAAACGAATCCCAACAAGAAAAGCCTCAGCAGTGAATTGCAGACATGTTCTGACATCAAGCGGTTTTGACCAAGACAAGGATTGAGTTTTTGAGTTTTTTCATACTTGTTCATCCTTTTGCAGCTGTTTGGCTGAAAGCAGCGGACCTCTCAGATTTCACCCGCTAAAGAAAGTGTAATGTCGGGACTGGATCGGATGTCTAGGAGTGCCAAGGAGCGCGTGCGCCGCGGAAGCTCCACACATTTGGCTGCTCATGCAGGCGCCTTATGTTCTTGTTTCAGAGAATGTAGACTTCTCGCAGTGGTCGCATGTGGTGGAGGTGTTCACGACTTCTCGTTTTTTTCTTGGTGCAACGTTGTTATACCCTGTTAGGCACCTACGCAGATACCCGGCATGTGCAGACTGCCGACGATGCGGCGGATGTTGCGGAAAAGGTGTTGAGCAAAAGGAAACATGAATTCTGGAAGAAAGATGTTGGAAGGATTGGGAACTTCTTGAATTCACCTACATTCGAGTCAGCCTTGGCCTGCATCATATCGTTGAACCTGATTCTGATCATTGTGGAGACAGACCAGACCGCTGAGGGACAAGTGCCACCAGCGTGGATCACCCAGAGCAATGTGGTGTTCTTAGCCGTGTACGCAGCGGAGTGCGTGACGAAGATTGTGGTCTTTAGATTTGCTTTCTTCCAGGCGGAGTGCGGAAAATGATAGAACAAATACACTTGTTCAAGTGGCAGTTGCTGAGGGAATGGAAAGCAAGAAGTGCTTGAAGTAGACCAAGTGGACATTGTTGCAGCGCGCTTGGATGTTCGTCAGTGTTTGAACATGTTTGAACATTCTTTGCTGTGTCGCGCTCTGGGAGGGAGGCGCTTTGATCCCTCTCAGACCCACCGACATTTCGGACACGTTGTTTCACATCATTCAGCCACCGCAACTGCTCGTTTTTGTTTTTGCTGTGTTTTTGCTTTTGCTTCCTCGTGCTGCCTTTACTTGTGCTTCTCACCCTGCACTAATCCCGTTGCTGTTCAATGCATTTCTCGTGTGGTGCTTTGTTGGTGTCCATTGTTCACTGTGGCTGTTCGTTGTTGTTGTCGTTGCCACTCTTGCATATCAGATTATGCTGTGTGATTGTAGGATGCATGCAATGCACATTGTCGATAGGTTTGCTGTTGCTGTTGTAACACGTTCTTATTACGACAGTCAACTGTTATGCATCCTCGTGGGTGTGGCTTCGGCTTGTCACAGAATTGCTGTTGGAGTCACGTATGATATGAATCATACTGTTTGTTGCTGTGTCAGTGGCGGGAACGTTTGAGGATACCAGGGGTACCGGCTTTCACCGCTGGCTGGTGGGAAAAAGTCCACCACTGGTAAGCATTGATTGCATGGGATTCGCATGGGGACACTGGAGAGAAAATGGGTTGAGCCTTGTAGTGACCAGCTTCCAGACATGTCAACGTGTTTTATGTTTGAATTCAGCTGCGAACACCCTCAAATTGCAACTCTCGAAATCCAACTGCGTGTGGCGTATGTACGTTGTGAATGACCATCGCACCTTATACTTATATATGTAGTTTACGTCAGAATGCCCCTGTACCACAGCTGTGACATGGCTAGACGGCTAGACTTTGCACAGAGAGAGAGAGAGAGAGAGATAGAGAGAGAGAGAGAAAGATCACGACAGCGGAGCCCAGCTGGCAACTGGAAAATAATCTCAACGAACACAGTTGGCTGACGTAGGTGCACCGACCCATGCAGGAGACATGGAACTGGCTGGACCTGCTGGTGGTCTTTACTGATACATGCTTTGCAATTTTGAACATTTTCTTCACGAGTGCACCTGGGCGGCTTTGTGCGGTGAACATTTTGGCATTTCACCGTAGTTTTACTCCTTTGGCTTTCGTTGGCATGGCGGGCAGGCAAAACATCTGAAAACTTCATAGGAAATGACCATGCATCGATTTGCTTGGACCAGAAGTATGTCAGCACAAGGTAGAGCATGTCTCGATGATCAGGATCTTCCGCTTAGTCAAGCTACTCCGGATGATCCGTGTGCTGAGACAAGTTTGGGAACTTAAGATTCTTCTTCTAGGCTTTCAAGCGGCTGCCAAGTCCATATTCTTCGGCATGGGCATGGTAGTGGTCACCTGGCGAAAGTGTAGCTCTTGAGGGGACGTGTTTTTGTTCCTTTTTATAGGGGGAACTTTGGGTGTAGGCCGGTAGAACGACTTGTTTGCCCCGTGGATGCAAACATGCGCTGCTCTCACGACAAAGATGGCAGGTCGGGACACTTGTTTGGGCGATTTTGGGTGTGCAATTGATCCACCCAGTGAACTCCCAGATTTGGGCAGACAGCGATTGCGAGAGATGTCAAAGAGCTTATTCTTCGGTTTGGGATGCTTTCATCACAATCTTCGAGACGGTCATCGTTGCAGACGCTTGGGGTGACCTTGCGATTCCATTGATTGAGACGGCTTGGTGGACATTTCTATGGTTCTTTGGCGTTTTGGTCACCCTGCAGCTGGGTCTGCTCAACCTGATCTTGGCGGTGATCGTGGAGCGAGCGGCAGACGCACGAGACAAGGAGGAAAGGAGGCAAGTCCTTCACCAAGAGGAGAAAATGCGTGAATCGAAATTGGAACTCATTCGTCTTTGCAAGGAACTGGACAAAGATGGTGATGGTCGGCTAAGCGAAGATGAGTTCCTGCAAGGCTTTGAAACAAATCCCGTTTTTGCCGAAGCCATGGTTGGGATGGGAGTCTATCCTGAAGACGTTGGATTGCTTTTTGACGTCATGGATGTGGAAGGTGAAGGTGAAGTGAGCTATATCAGTTTTGTCAATACGCTCTCACGGGTGAGGACACAGATGAGCCAGGTGATCTTGTTTTCTATCTCTGAGCTACGGAAGTCTGTTGCAAGGGTGGAGAAACAGTTTGCGTCAACACCAGGCGGCTCCAAGGTCCAAATGTTCACAAGTTATCGGAAGATACAAATTCCTCCTTGTTGTTTGTCACATGTAGTGCTGTGAGAATGTTGATTTTGTTGAACCGCATTTTTCCAGGCCTGTTGCTGTGTCTTTTCCTTCAGGCTCCGTGCGCTTGCAGAAAGATCTCCTTCCCAGTCCAAACGATGCACGCCAAAGGGCTCCGAGTCCTGGTGAAGGGCTCCGTGGGCAGTTGGAAGAGATGACCCGGCAAATGCAGTGCCAGCTCCAGCAGATCCAGTCGGAAATGTCGAACAGCTTTCAAGAAGCAGTGCAGGTCATGCTTGAAACGACTGAGACCTTTGAGACCTTGGTGAAAGTGCAAAGTGGGAGTCAAGGTGAGGAATGTGAGATGCCAAAGGCACCACATCCCAAAGATGTCCCAGAAGATTTTCCTGAGGTCCAGGATGAGCCTCAAGCCAATCGAATCCCACCAGACAGGATGAAGCCAGAGAAAGACAAGGACCAGGCCAACCACCCCGGACTAAATCGATTCCAAACACCGAGAGAAGCGCTATAAGACGCTCAGTGTCACCGCACTGGCCGAAGTCTCACCGTGCCGAAAATGGAGCGAGCAAGCCATCGATGGTTGGTGTCTTCGGAGTTGTCGTTGTCGTGGCTCGTAGAACCAAATCAGACTTACCAGATCGAATTCGGAGCGCCCTGTGCCTACGAAATACGGGCACCATAAATTATATATACACATACATACACAATTACACAATAAGTATATAATCCTTTGGAGAGCCGGTGGGCGGACATTTCAATCATGTTATAATATGTTATAATACAGTGTATATATATATATATACACTACTGAGTTCTTTTGGATGTGGTGATGCCTTTTTGTGAAGTGTTTTGCAGCTGTTTGTTGATGTGTTGAAGTGTAGTGTGATGTGATGTGGTGAGGTGAGGTGAGTGTGTGCGTGCGTGGGTCGGTGCATGAAAAAGTGTGAAAAAGTGGGTGAGTGCGTGCCTACTGTAAGTGTAATAAAGTGCGAGTGAGTGAGTGCGTGGGTGAGTGAGTGAGTGCACATTTTGTCCATGAGGGGCAAGAACCAATATGAACTCACGACCAGAGGCAGTCAGCCAGGATGTGCAGGTCAGGAGGGAGGTGCTATAGTATGCACCAATTCTATCCAATTCTTGCCAAGAAGATGCTTAAATGTAGCAACCAGAAGATTTCATCAGCCATCACTCGGTCAGCCTGTGGTTGGTTCAGGCAGATGGGCAAGAGAAAGGTGGGGCTCTATCAGTTTGCAATTGTGCTCCATTCATGACATGATGTAAAGTTCATGTATATATGTCCATGCACTTCCGTTTCACATATATATATATATACTGGTATATATACCGATACCCCATTTTGAGGGATGCACGAGGGGCAAGAACATCAGGCATTATCCTCGGTGTGCCAAATCACGGCAGTTGCCATATCTAGTAGACTGTGACCCGGTTCCTGCTAGCATCCTCGTGAAATTTGCTGATTAATTTATTTCCCTCATTGAAGATTCTTGGAAGAAACACAATGGCAACTTGTTTTTATCTCCGACAGGCTGATCACCCGACAACCCTAGGTGGCTGCAATGGAGAATGTCGAAGCGCCAGCCGCTGTCTCCAACTTAGATAACAGAAGGAAGGTAAGGGGGCCTTCCGATTCCAAGGTAGCATACCTTTGGTGTCACCGGAGGGTAGAAGTTAGAGGAGGAAGGAACCGCTCCAACATAGCATTCCTTCGTGAGCCACCTGAGGTTATAAGATTAAAACATGCTTAAAAATTAGAGATTGAAACATGTTGAAACGTAGGAAACCTTTGGTGAGCCACCCGAGGATAGAGTTTAGAGCAGGGAGAAACCATAGTTCTTGGGAGCCACCAATGTGACCAATCCGAAGGTAAATCTTAGAGGAGGAAGGAGCCATTCCAGAATAGCACACCTTTCGTGAGCCGCGCCCAAGGTTATATACAATTTAGAGGTTGAAACGTAGGATGCCATGTGTGAGCGGCACGAGGGGAACATTTAGAGGAGAAAGGAGCAATGGAATCAGAACATAGTTTTTGTGAGCCACCCGAGAGCAAAATTGTCGAGATTCACAAAGTGCTGCGCCTGCCACTGGAATAAATGCAGTCAAATCAGTCTGAATACTTTGGTATATTTTGGTATGATTTCCAGTACCATCCAATGGGTGTCCAATGGACTACCCTACACTCCTTAGAGGTGTCCATTGGACACAACTTTTGGATTGTTGTATCACGCGTTACAGCAATAGGAAACATCCAGGCATAAGCCAGCACAACGCCATACAACGCCACAACTCTGGATGCTCAGGGCCACCAGGCTTCTTTCATGTGACATGCAATTCGGATGCTAAGATCAGCACTCCGAGGTTCACAAAGTGCTGCGCCTGCCAGCAATCGTTTCTTGTCATCCCAGCACCCCCACAAAGTCACCACATTAACTAAGACAAAACATATTAGGAGCAAGAAGCTACTAGGAGCAAGGGGCATCGCTACTAGGAGCAACCACGCTACTAGGGGGTCCTGGCCTTACTACTAGGAGCAAGAAGCTTCTACTTGTACCCAATTAATCCGGGCCACTTTAGGACTTGCCCGGGAGCGTCAATTGTGTGGAAGCGTGAAGGCCCCACACGCCTGTGGAAGTGAAAAGGGTGCTTTCATTCTGCCACTGTTTGTCAACCATGGAAGCTGCACTTGACGAGATCGTGCCCAGCATACCGCATACTTGAGGAAACTCCAGTGCAGCCCAAGGCGCTCGTGGCCAGCAGCTGAGCAAAAGTTTAAAAAGCTCACTGGGGATCAGAGTGGCTCCATGGCAGAGCCACCAGATTCTTTTTGTGTATTGTCCAAACACACCCATGGATCCATTACTTGGATCTGTGTTTTTGAAGTGATCAGACAAGACGACGTTCATTGTGTTACTCAATATATATATATATATATCAATATTTGGCACGTATCGAGCATGCTGACCGCTAAACAAAGCAACACATGCAAACAGCATGCAGAAATCAGTAGAGCATAGACACCAGCCGCGCCAGCCTACATGAGTGAGGCGACGCTGGAGCTCCGACTCAATGATTGCAACGAAGAACTTTTAGAGCAGCAGGCTCTCCAACTTGGAGCGATGGAAGTTGCCGAACACAGGTAAAGTTTCAGAGGTTCGAACTAATTTACATAGCGCGGCAGGAATTGACAACCAATGAAAAAGTAGGTCAGCGGAGCTGGTGTTGACTCAAAGCAATGTGATGTCATTTCGCATCTACTTCTCATTTGAGAGGGGCCACGTAGTGCCAATTTTTTCCTGATCTCCAAACTTGGGCAGGTTGCCTCAAGACAGATGCACGAGGTGCAATTTGTAACCGTGCATTGGAACGTTGCATTGGTGCATGATTCCCTTGTAGTGTGGTTCTTGCACTCCGCCCCAACTACGAGTAGAAGAAGAAACTAGGCGGCCATCGTTATTAGGTTGGCGGCCATCGCTATTAGGTTGGAGGCCATCGCTACTAGTAACAAGACAAGAAGCTACGTTACTGGATGCTTCGTTCCCCAGCTTTGCCGCCTTCTCCGTAGGTCTACGGCAGTGCACGAAGACAGACGCCAGGGCCTTTATTTGCATGAGCAGCGAGGCTTTATAGATGTCAAACATCTACGAAGGCATTCAAGAATGAGGGCCTTTGTGATAAACAGACAAAACATACGTTGAAGAGCATGAACTGAATTTGATGCGCCTTGGTGTCCAAATCCTCAGATCAAGATAAAGACACTACAACTCCCCTAATTAGAATTGCTAATTTGGAGCGTTCAGTACTCAGTTGCGCTGGCTTGCATTGTATTCCTCGTTTTTAGTGCTCAGAGAGGCTCATTGTGCTGTTTAGGTTCATATTGCAGAGTGCTCGGGCCTAAAGTTTCTCCATTCAATTCCATGCCGCCGGTTCCGTCAGCGACGGCAGTTTGTTGTTCGCCGACCGTCCGGCGAGGCGCCCTGCTGCCCAGGCATTGCTCCGAGGCGATCGTACAACCGTGAGTGAGACCCTGGAGACAGGAGCCCAGAGGCATTTAGAGGCTACAAAGACCGGCAGGAAGAATTGGTTTTGTGGAGATGTGCACTGACTTTGGCTCCAGCATTGAGTAGGAGTGCCCCACATATATGCCAGAACAATCCCAACCGATCACAATCGTCCAGCAATTTCAGACAAAGTGTACTGTATTATACAGTTAATACACATGCACGGTTCGAGCATGTCAGGGATTTACAGATCCATGCGATTGCTTCAGCTTAATTCCAGCAGATGTGGGGATTGCCTTGGTGCTAGCCCATGTCGCAGAGGACTGCTAAGAGAATCCCCCAGCGTCCATGCCATTTCGCCATAGGCTACATCATTGTTACCACAAAGGCGTGGTCAAGAAGCTCAAGCGCAGCTCGAAGCCAAGAGCTGGCCTAGGCTAGGCCAATGGTCGCTGGGGGTTAGCGAGTCAGGTGCTCCGGCCGTTCTCGTAGTTAGCCAACATTGTTGATGTTACAAGGCTTGGCATCTCATCAGTAAGAATCGAAAGTCGCAGCTTGCAGTTGTCAGATCAATTCGTCCCACTCCTGTGATTTCCTCCAACGCCTATTTCTGGAGAAAAACAAACTATACCGAACTGAGACACCAAACTGCAGCCACTGTGCAGCACAACACTTGGGACTTCCGACAGCATGGGACACGACGGTTGAGGTGACAAAGGCTTGACCCTGGAAGTTCCGCACGATCCCTGCGGGATCGATCCATTGCTCATCAGCACCTTGATCGAAGGAACAAAAATGGGACAAAAGGTATTGGGGAATAATCATGCCAGTGAGTATTCAATAGTATTATGTATTCATGTTTCACTGTCAAAAGGGAGTTTGCTGAGTTTGCTGCAGTCAGTTGGGGAGTGCTTGACTTTTGCGAACTGTTGGCCACCAAGAAGTGCCATTCACTGTCCATCGGCACCGTTTGCTTGTCAAAGGATTTGTGCTATGCCTTGTTGCTTTGTATCCTGTTTT